AGCAAGGAAAAGGGCACGCTCAGTACCACAGCAAGGCTCTGGGCGCGTCCACATCACCCGGTGCAAGCCGCACTTGTTGTGGCAAGAAGGACCCGGGGCCGCAGACTAGTCCCGGCTCTCCTCAAAACCAATCGGCCCTTTTTAGGGCCCCTCAAGATACACTATAAAGAGACTTGTATATACGCCTGATAGCGTAATCATTGTAAATAGATCTTGTAAATATATCTAGTAAAATTAAGCACTGGTGTATTCCTTGGAAACAGGCCCGACTACTCTATCCATCTCCTCTTGCGGTGTACACACATAAACACGACGACCACAATATATAAGCAACCAATTAAATATATGTACATATATATACAAGGTATAAAAGTACCGGTACCGCAAAAAATCTTGAAAACTAAGCATGTTACAGAGAAGTGTTTCAGATAAAAGTTGTAGAGTTTTAAAGGATAGTTACTAATTTTATCAATTTGAATGACATTTCCCACCACTCTACTTTTTTTGCAAATTCTTAAAGCGTAATTTAAGAGCTTTTCAAGACACTATAATAGTTTATTTTTATCGAGTACTTTTTGACTTATGAGGGTTGAATTAGAGTATCGCCGGTATTAACATTATTTATTGACGTTATCATTCATTTTAAATGTTGCTTTATCTGAAATAACTATGTTGACTAAGAAATTAAATTCTTTGTCAATTCTCTGCATTAGTTGCTCACAAAATTCGTTTTGATCAAAATCATTTTTGTAGAAAAAGTTCCGGGGTATTCTAATATTCAACTTTCATAACAAAAACTGCTTAATGAAAACAATCTTTATTATAATGTTTTGGAAAGTTCTTGAATTAAGCTATAAGAATTAAGTTTTTAAATTAAGCTATAAGAATTAAGTTCTTGAATTAAGCTCTACAAGAATCTGCAATTGAAAGTAGAATGTTTTATTTGAAAAAATTAATGTGTTTTTGATTTGACCTTAGTGGCGCTTTCCAAAGTCACATTGATACAATTGATAAATTGATTCTTTTAAGCCCAACAATTTTTATCTGAAATCTTTTTTCATGAAATGTCTAGTTTTCAAGATTTTTTGCAGTATCGATACTTGTTAACTACCCTATATAAAAAATATAATGCCTTAGAAAAGAATGTTTTTATTATTTTAAACTTAAATTTAATTTATAATTAAAACGGTGTTAATTATACAACTTATATGCATACATATATATAATATATGAATAGCAAGACTCGAGTAAATTACTTCAGTGCTTTTCTACATATTTGAGGATACAATTTGTCGAAAACAAGAAGTAGTCTTCGCTCTCGTTTTGAAATGGACGCCAACATTTTATTTATTACTGACTTTAGCAGAAGAATTCACTCAAGACAAATAAACTGAATATCAAGAATTATTTATTCTTTTGTGTGCTTGAAGAAACGATATCACAGAAAATTTAGAGTTTACTCTCTTTTTGAAATAGATATTTATGTTTCATCATTATTTGACTTCAGAAACTGCAAAAAATCAAGTAAATTGAACAGCAAGAATAGTGTGAACACATTCATGCCAAATTATAATCATCAATTTGTTTATCATTGTTTTGACATGAAGCAACAATCATTACATCAATATTAAATTT